ATTAATTGAATATATCAAACACATCTGATTAGTTAATCGTCCATTAGTGGTAGTGAAAATCAAATCTGGACCTGTATAATGTATTGACGGTAATATACCGTAAATTGCACATACCTTCCACATGTCCCAACTTATCAACAATTTCATCAACATTGATATTACCAATGTCGTCCGGTACATACTGAATACTACCATCATTCACTGCGGCCAGATTCTCTGGTTGTTGATTGCTCAACTTCTCAATTTTCTCATCAATCAATTTCTGCGATGAGATAATTTCTTCGATACTTCCTCTCTTTAAGAGATTTTTTGGCAAGGACACTGAAGCTTGGACTTTATCAAGATAATCTTTCATTTCATCATGTTGTTTGCTCAGTTCACTGTGTAATTCACCATAAACCTTGTCCACGTCGTCAATCATTTTCTTTGCTCTCTCGTCAAGTTTTTCTGCCACAATCTTCAAGATATTTTCCTTTTGTTCTTTGATTTGATCTTTAGCCGTTTCAGCATTTTTTTCAAGAGACTTCATCACCTCACAAATGTTGTTTAATGCTTTCTTTCCTTCAGCTAATTTCTCATCAAGTGTTGTGCAGCTTGATTGCAATGTTTCTCTTTGTTTCTGTTTGATCTCGCGCATTGCCACACACGAGTGGTTTGTTTTGGTATGAATTAACACTACACAATCTATACAGCAAAGTTCTTTGCATGTTTCACAATAATATTCAAGTATTTTGTCTTCGTGTTTTGCGCAATAAAGTTTTCTTCTCATCTTCACTTGACTTTCAGGATTGCTCAGTTCCTGTACAGATAACACATTATGGTTTTTATGGGTTGGCCAGCTATCATGCCACTCTGAACATTTCTTACACATAAACATTTCACATGATGCGCAGTGATTAATGGCAGGATCTTGGCAGCGTGAGCATGCGGTAGATGTTTTCGCTTTTTGTTGAATCGCCATAATTTCCAGCATATTCTTGATGAAATAACTGCTTGGCAGTTCAGCAACATCTTGGTTTGATTTGAGAGTAAACTCTGAGCGACATGTAGGACATGGAAATGTCTCGATCTTCTTTTCAGCACCACGGAGACGTTCAACATACTTTCCTAAACAACGCACAGACATATAGAATACACTTAAAGCATAAATAAACATGTTTAAGAATAAATTAAATGCAATAATTATAACAAAGACAGGTTAATTGTCGAGTTCCCTGCTGACATAAATCTCTAAGCTAAGCTCAGAATTAGGGAAATGGTATCTGGTAAAAAATAAACATCCAGCAGTATCAGGCATAATTTATGCGGAAAATGCTGGAATTTTTATTAACCGAAACCAAAAAAATGTTCCCTTTGTCTTTTTTGTGTGTTAAGACTTTCTGGAACAGGAAAAAAATGCAAAAAATGTTTTCAAGATGTACAGTAACTGCTCTCTGGTCTAGATTGCCTGCAGACACCAGAGTGTGCCACAAATAGTCAAAGTCGCATTTTTCGAGAGCATATCACGTCGAGAGCATATCACGCGAGAGTGATGAAATTAGACTGTCTCCCTCGCAACAGCGCGAGAGGGAGATAATACGTTATCGACCGGTGAATAACGAAAAAAAATCACGTGTGCCATCACATGAAGATGCGACCTTTGGACATAAAAGCACGCATTTTTTTTAGAAAACCGGCTTTCGCTTTAAGTACTGTAACTGCAGTGTTTAATTTAACGTTTTAACAAATGAATAAAATATTTCATGTATTTACGTTCATTTGTTCCTTAATTTATTGTTTCTTTGACTATTGGTATATAATAAAATACTTATTTACTGGGACCTCGGCAGTATCGACCACGATTGGACCATCGACAGTCTCGCATCCACAAAACATACTGTTTCCCTCACTCCCAGTAAATAAGTGTTTTGAAAATACTTACTGCTTAAACAATGAACTATATATACTGTATTATCGGGGAACAAATAGTCAAGTACCACCATTAGTATCTGATTATTGTTTTCCCCCAGAACCGGTTTCTGGTAGACTACTATTCTGTATGCAGCAAAAGCCAAAACAATATCCAGCACATCCCTAGTCTGAATGGTACAAAATACAGTAAGACAGTATAAATAAAATTTTCCAATTATTGCATAAAATCTCAAAATTCTATTCAAATTGCCAAGACTAGTAGACATGTAGCCTCCTCCGCAGACATCTCACCCGAGGAATTGGGTGGTGGGAAACCCATTCGCAGGTTAAAACCCATAGAGAAGCCTGCGGAGGAGGCTAGTAGACATGTTTAATATTAAATTCATCAAATAGAATTTCATCACAAATGTGAAAGGCACATACTCCCAACTTTAAGGGGGGGGGGTTGAACCTGGTAGGGGTCAGCTTATAATTATATTTGCACCTCTCCTTAAGTTATGTGTCCCTGCTCCCTAGCTACAGTACCATCTATGGAAAGCCATGGCTGTCTTAAGTAGTTAATCGTCATTATATGCGGTGGTTTTGTCATTATATGCGGTTGTTTTGTCATTATATGAGGTGCTTTCGTCATTATATGCGATGCTTTTGTCATTATATGCGGTGGTTTTGTCATTATATGCGGTGCTTTCGTCATTATATGCGGTGCTTTCGTCATTATATGCGGTGCTTTCGTCATTATATGCGGTGCTTTCGTCATTATATGCGGTGCTTTCTTCATTATATGCGGTACTTTCTTCATTATATGCGGTACTTTCGTCGTTATATGCGGTGCTTTCGTCATTATATGCGGTGCTTTCGTCATTATATGCGGTGCTTTCGTCATTAGATGCGGTGCTTTCTTCATTATATGCGGTGCTTTCTTCATTATATGCGGTGCTTTTGTCATTATATGCGGTGCTTTTGTCATTATATGCGGTGCTGTCGTCATTATATGCGGTGCTTTCGTCATTGTATGTGGTGCTTTCGTCATTATATGCGGTGCTTTCGTCATTATAAACTGTGGTTGTGGCCCGCGATAATTATATCCAGCAGTTTCCAAACGTTTGACAAGCATATTTCATGAGATTCGTAAACTAAACCATAAAAAATGGAGGGTATTTTAAACAAACTTAATCTTGGAAGTTGTATTCCCAACTTTGCCGAAGAGAAGATCACTCCAGACATTGTGTGCAAACTATCTGCATATGATTTGGAGTTGCTTGGTCTTAGCAGTCGCGCTAATATGATGAGACTAAGAGTCGAGTGCGTAAAGTTTGGTGGGGGACAGTTGCCGAAAATAAATAGTAGTTGTGGAGCGCCAAAGTTTCATATCCCAAGGAGTGTGCTGAAAAATCTCCTAGACGAAGGATTTTCCATAAATGAAATATCGACTCTTTTAAGCGTTTCCGAGAGCACAGTTTATAGAAGGATGAGAATGTTCGGGCTCAGCAAGTTGACATTCAGCGACATTTCAGATGATCTTGATCGTGTAGTCAACAATATTTGTCATGATTTCCCTCAGTGTGGAGAGAATATGTTAAACCAAATTCTCAGTGGTAAGGGAATCAAGGT